ATTTATAGTGAAAGTAGGAAAATGACTTTCTTCTTTTTTTATTTTTGCATCCTTTCATTTTTTTTATTTTTTTTTTTTTCTTCTTGTCTTCAAAATATGTTGTGTGTTACTTTTTTACTTGTTGACAAAAGAAAAGTTTAGGTAACGGATAGACAGTGGAGTACTTAATGCGTGATGTATGATTGTAAAGGAAAAACCAATATATTATTGGGATTTTTTTTTGTATGTTGTTTTGTGTGATTTTATGCTTTCTCGTTTTCTTTTTTCTTTGCTTGGGGATGTGAATTATGTAGTAGTTGTAGGGTTTAATAGGTAAGGGACCAAAAAAAAAAAAAAAAGGAAGGAACTCGAGTTGTGATTTAATTCGTTTTCTCATTACTTGAAGAGAAAGAAGGAAAGGAGAAATTTTTGAACTCTTTCCTTTTTGCGTTTTATTGAAATTCTTTCTTTTTGTTTTCTTACATTTTCTCTCGGTTATTGTTGCAGTCATTGTTGGGGTTTTTTCGCCTGTAAAGTACCTTTTCCATACTTTAAAATGATGATGTTAGGTGGTATTGCCTCTCCTTCGCCGTTCCCCTGTGTTTTCTCAGCTTTAAGTATCGTTATTACTCTTGTCGTTGCTCTTCCTTCTGTTGTAGATGCTTACCCTGCTGTGCCGGACATTCCCCTCGCAGAGATAATGTTTGGGCCGTACAATAAAGATATGGTAGACATAATGGGAAGAGGAGGAGGAGGAGGAGCAAATCTAGAAGGAGTAGAAAGAAGAACAGCATCTCAATTTGTTGCAGGTACGGGAGAAAATGGGGAAACAGTAGGTGGGGAGAATGATGACTTTTGTTTTATTTCTCATGGTTGCTGGGGTGGAAAACCACCCCAACTCTCTGGACAGCAGGATGTCTCGTCGCTTATTTCACAACTTCTTACGAAGAGCAATGAAGATACCTCATCCAATAGCGAACATATTCGCTTTATTGTGGCGGCAGGAGACAACTTTTACAAGCATGGTGTACGGGATAAATATGATGATCGATTTTTTACAACTTTTGAGAGTTTTTATGATGGTAGAAATGCGACACAGCGTGTGCCCTGGCTTGTGGCGTTAGGTAATCACGATTATTACGGTAATTGGTGGGCACAGGTGAATTACACATATGCCACGAAGGAACAGGAGAAGTATAAACATCTCTGGCATCATCTCACCACCTCTGATGTGGTAGTATCGGGCCGTTGGTATATGCCCTATCCATATTATGCGATTAAAGTCAGTACTGACATGGTGGTGGTGGTAATTGATACAGTGCTTTTACATCGCTGCGCAAATAGTATGGAATCCTGTTGGGATGGTGGAAAACAGAAACAAATAGTAGAGAATTGGCTTCTGCATACATATGCTAATGTTCCATATAAAGTGGTAGTGGGGCATTACCCGGTATTGGCTAATGGACCACATGAGAACTTCCCGTGGCTTCAGGAGTGGCTTATTCCACTCATGGAAAAGTCGTGTGCGTCTGTGTATATACATGCTGATAATCACTACCTGCAGGTGTCAAAAAAAGGGTATCAGTATTATGCTAACAGTGGTGGTGGAGCTGGACTCCGTCTGCATTTTCCACTCAAACACAAGAGCTGGACTAAGGAGGAAAGCATTTTCCACGCCGTGGAGTATGGTGTAATGCTGCACTGCAAAAAAGATGGACGTATCACACATCGTGTGCTTGACAGAAAAGGTAAGGAACTCTTTCGATTCACCTCATGGGATGAAAATGATGCTCCAGCACTGCAACAGTGCCTGGCGAGGTTGAGAGCTGAAAATTATAACGCGGCTGATACGAATGACAGTTGTCCATTATTTACGTTTGGTCCACTTTTCATGATATTTCTTGTAGTTGTACTTCTTTCAATGCAGCGACGCAACCGTATACGGCCTCGGCGCTATGCATAATATATATATATATTGTTTATTACTATTATTATTTACTATTATTATTCAATAAACTGATGAGGGATCAGTAATCACAAAAAAAAAAAAAGAAAAACGTTGCAATTTTTATTTTTCATTGCAATGTAGGTGATTTTAAGTATTATTCCGTTCGGAAACACCAGAATAAAAAAAAGAGAAAATATATGTAAATCAAATAAATGTTGTAAACATGACCATATCTCTCTTTCTATTAAATAAACTTTCTAATTATTTATTTATTTATTATTATTATTATTATTATTATTATTATTATTATTATTATTATTATTATTATTATTATTATTATTATTATTATTATTTTCATTTCTTTTGATAAATTTATTGAAACACATGTATACAAACATAGGAAGGAATAGGTGATAACGAAACTGAGTTAGTAGTGTCAATATATTAAAACAGATTGGAGATATGATACCACACCCCAATTCTGTTTATCATCATCGGCATGGCCGTGAACTTCTTCCTCTGCTGTTACTTTTGCTTCTACTGGTAGTTTGGAAAGAAACAGTGGAAGTATACGCCGTTATTCCCGATAACGATAAGATGCTAGTAAATGTGTTTCCAATGCCCTTTGCATGTATATTAACTCAGTCCCCCACAAATTTTTCTGTAGATATTTTTCTGCAATCATTACTGGACATCCTTGTTACATTACCCGGAAATCATTTTAGTGATTTCACTCAAATGGAGCTTCTGGAGTACTGTGCTTGGGGTAATCTTACCCTAACCGGTGATTCTTACTGCCGGAATGGTGGTAAGGATTTGGGGGATGAGACAAATTTCAAATACACACTTGTGCGGTATGGAGTGATGGCGGATGATTTACATAAATTACAGCAACTCAACTACACACCATTGGGTGTAGCAGTTGGACCCATTTTACAACACTCTGATCCTGCTTTATATGTGCCAGGTGAGAATGATCTTTCGTTTGGTGTGGTAGTGTTCTCAAACGAAACAGTTGTAACAATTGTTTCTGTATTTTTATTATGCATCTTCATTCCCCTTATGTGTATTATATTTATTTGTCGACATGTACAGAATGTCCGAAAGGAGAAGGTGCGTGCGGAACTGGTACGACACGCATTATATGAATTGGCGAATTCAGGACATCAAGAACAGGAACAACAACAGGGGAATACAGACAATGTCAGTAGGAATAATCAAGATGGGGAAAGAGTGGCTGGTAGAGAGATGGAAAGAGAAATGAATGAGGTTCGATGGGGAGGGAGAAATATACCACTTTCAGTAGCACGTACACCATCGTACTGGCCATCATCTACCAACGCTGAAGAAATCCAGCGGCAGCAGGGACGAGAATGGTATGAAAGAGAGCTGGCACCTAAACCCTCTCGGCAGTAGTTTTTGGGGTTATAATAGTGGCATGTGACAACTTTTTTTATTTTATTTTTTTTATATTGATTTTCTAGGTGCATCTTCTTTTTAGTGATTTTCTTTTCTTTTTTCTTTTTTTTCACGTACTTGCTGATATAGGGTGCTCTTGCAAGGTTAAAGTTTATCTCCGTGCACTCTAAATAATGTGAACTTTATGTAATCCCCCTTTTTTCTTTCGTTTTCTCTTTCTCCCTCTCTATGTATATATATTTAACTTTTATACCCCAGTACATATATAGATATTGTATATTGCCTTGTGAAGAAGAAGAAGAAGGCAAAACTTCTGTCTTGCAGAGAGAAGTGAGAGGTACTACATAGGTGTATAGACAAAGGTATATATATATATATCTGAAGTCTTGCTGCTTCTTCCATGGGTGACCCACGTGTGTGTTTTTCAGAGGCCACGTCAACGACGCTGGCCCAGCGTGATGTGGAACTAAAACTTCTAGAGTTTCTGCAATTGTATCAACCTGAAGTATATGCTCTTTGGGCTTCACATCCTGATGCTAACTTTGATGAACATGGTGGAGAAAAAATACAGGGTGATGATGAAAGTAAGAGTAGTTCTGCTGGTAATCTTCATTTGTACCGTAGCGTGCATGAAAGATATGTTTTATTATCCCTATTGGGGTTTAAGGATGCTGTGGAAAGGCAATATTGTGTGCAACCATGGATTGTTTTTTGGGTTTTACATACAGCAGAATTACTTGGTTTTAAAGAAGAGTTGTACAAGAATATTTCGCCTGATGCACTCGGAGAATTCCTCCTTGCTTGTCTTCAAGAAGAAAAAGCAGACACCAGTATGAGTACCAAAAGTAGTGATACGAATGTACTCAAGGGAGAAATTAACAATGACGACAAGAAGAATGATAATACAACTCAAAATACGAACTGTTCAGAAACAGTCTTCTTGCAACCCTCTGATAAGTTACTTGATGATTCTAATGATGATGGAAAACGTCTTGTGGGATTTGCAGGTGGCCGATTAGCGCAAAAACCACATCTTGCTGCATCATATGCGGCGGTGTGTGCACTTTGTATGCTAGGGAATCCATTACATTTGCGTTCTATTCCTAGAGCAGCTATTAAAAGATGGTTGCTTGAACTTCGTGAAGATGATGGGAGTTTCCGTGTACATATTGGTGGAGAGGCAGATGTCCGAGCGTCCTACTGTGTAGCCGTCCTCGTGACGCTGCTGCAATTGGAAGATGTTGTGGCTTACAAAGATGGACGAGATGAGAAGATTCTGACTAGACAAGCAGCAGAATTTGTAGCATCTTGCCAGACACATGAGGGTGGCTTTTCATCTGCGAGTGGGGCATCAGAGGCCCATGGGTCTTATACATTGTGTGGACTTGCCAGCCTTCTGTTGATGCAGCAACCGCATTTGTGTAAGTACACCTCCCTGCGTCGCTGGTTGGCATCACGGCAAATGAAATTTGAGGGTGGATTTAATGGACGAACTAATAAACTTGTGGATTCATGTTACTCGTACTGGGTGGGTGCTTCACATGTGTTGATGGGAGTAGGTGAGGCCTATGCACGATTTTTTACACAAAAAGGCGGGGCTCAGTCTCTTACAGCGCGAGAGATTATGTTGCTTGATCAGGCGCAGTTAATTGATGTATCCAGTATATCTCTTATTAATGAAGATGACTGGTATAAGGCGGAGGAAACGTGTCAAGAGCAATTAGGGAATGTTAAAGCATTTATGAATACTCTTTCATCACCTTCTACCTCTTCCTTCTTTGATGAGGAAGTTGGAGATTTTTTATTTAATCAGAGACGTCAAATGTTGTATATTCTATCTTGCTGTCAAGATAAAGTGATGGGTGGACTAAAAGATAAACCAGAATGTCCAAATGACACCTATCATACATGTTACGCCCTTTCTGGTATGAGTTTAGCCCAAAACCTACAATACATGCCCACTCCACCTCTTTCTGAAGGAATTATTTACAAAGAATCAATTTCTCGTGGATATATCCCTGGGGAACGCGATGAATATGGTGTTGTACTAACATTAAATGATAGTAACAATGACAAAAAGAAGGAAGAGAAAAATCAGGAGCTACTATGTCCTATAAATCCCATATTTAATATTCATCGAAGTGGTGTCTTGACTGCACTGCGTTTGTGGGGAGGAAAATCTTTTCTCTGCTAAACCCTAACTCTCTACATCAAGAATTAAAAGAATCACATTACTCTGCACGGATCATCCATGATAAAGAAAAAAAAAAAAAACACCTAGGGTTTTTTTTTTTTGATAATTATGTTTTCATTTTCTTTATTTCTTTCTATATTTTTTTTTCTTTTCTTCTCTTCTGAGACCTAACCTAACGCTCTATATTTTATTTTTATTTTTTTGTTTTTATTTCTCCTGTGTTTCTCTTCAAATGAATTAGATATTCGTATAAGTATATTATGCAAAATAGTCTAACTTCTCAAAAAAAAAGTGAATCCACAGGTACTGATCCTGCTGTTCACGCTGGATCAGGGGGAATTCGTCTCGAACAACTTGCTAGTGAACACATGGACGTTAAGCGGTGGATTAATTCCTCACTGCAAAGCCTGAAATCAACGGAAAATACTTCAGAGGAAAACGATGTAGAAGTGGAGGCTCGAGTAACACGACTCTTTAATCGACTACAAAGTTATTTACAAGAGGTTGGAGGATCTGTGGAAGACACTATCACACAGGCTCTAGTGCGATTGCCGAGAACAGGACTTGAAGTTGGTCGAATGGCTACAGATGCTCAACAATTACAACAACAGTTACAGACTATGCAAGAAGTGGTACAGTCAGCAGTAGAGGCTGCCGCTAAACCATATGTAGCACAGTTGAATGCTTTTAAAAAAACTCAAGATAAACTTACTCGATGTGCTGATATGCTTCGAAAAGCCTCAGAAGTAGACAATGATATGAAGCAACTTGATGATGTTATGCAACAGTTGCGTACAGCTCCAACAGAGGTTGACATGGATGCAGTGGCAGTGATTATTGGTCAACTTCGAAGCAATCTTGCAGAGTTACAAAAAGTAGATGTGAGCTTTGGTGAAAAGCAGCAAGAAGCTGTAGAACGGTATGAGCAGACTGTTCAACATGCTGTAGAAGTAGAATGTATGGAGAAACTACGGAGAAGGGAAGTAAATCGTGCAGCTCAGTTATTGAAAGTACTTGATGCCATTGGTCGTGCTGATGTTATTCTTCAACAATATGCTGTGGAAAGTATGATGAATGAGAAAGAGAGAGTGGAGCGGCTTCTTGGTGAAAGTGGTTCTACAGTTAGTACAATTTCTGCTACCCGAGCGGCAGAGGTGCTTAAAACTCAATTAATGCCATCTATTGGACATGCTCTTGCAGATCATTTGGATTTTCTCTTGTGTATGGCTCAGACTGAGGAAAATGAAGACGTAGACGCAAAAATAACAGAAAAAAACTCTATAAAACACCAAGAGAAGGAATCACGTACAGTGAAAGTATTACAACTGATGGTGGATGAGGTAAGTGGTAGTATCGCCAAAGCGTTGGTACCCGTTTTGGATCGAGTAGAGCGCAATCAAGATTTGGTTCTTTGCTGTGATGCGATGCGACAGCTCAAAATTGGGGATGAAACAAATGAACATAACAAAAATAAAAACATTAAAAATTATTCTCAGTTACGAGAGAAGATTGCTAAACAGATTTCTGCTTATGCTATCTCTGAAATGATTCAATTATTTGCTCAATCTAATATATTGGAAGCATTTACACAACGTGAAGTTTGTCGTTTAGAAGCTCTTGTGAAAGATCCACAAATTACTATGAAACGTGAGCGTTTTAAAGCGGCAATGGATTTAGTAATGGATGCTGTAAAGAGTATCGTTCGTTTTTTTCCAGAGAAAACACTCCCAATGTGTGTTTCAAGATGGCGAGAAGCTATTTTAGAAGCTATCTCCCGGTTACGACCCACACCAAGGACGCCACAGGAAAGTTTACTTGAGCGACTCTCTGCCGCTCGTACAGTTGTGCGACAGTTGCTACTAACAGGTCAAAAAAATATTTCTGATTACCTCGGTTCTCCTGAATTACAAAGGTTATATCCAAGTGTAGCAGATGCTGTGGATACTCAGCTTCGCACCCAGTTCTGGGGACCCCTCACAGAAGCTCTTGATAACTGCGTTCAGGACTGCCAGTATGCTGTGAAACGGACTATTATTGAACCAGTTATTGCTAAAGCTGCAGGATACGAATCGCAACGTTTGTGGGGATTCAAAGAGGGTGAAAGTGTTGATGAAACTGCAGGTGTAGTATCGCCCTCACCCATTCCCTACACAGCGGCTCAAGTTGCACCAACGGAGCTTGTACGAGCACTTGGCGAAGCTATTGTTGAAATCCCACTAGCCTTGGAAGGGCTTCGCGGAGATGGTGATGTTCGATTTGAAGGAATTGAGGAACTACTGGAAGAAGTTGCGGAGTATTGGCTTGACGACATTGTGCGAACTGCCGTGGCTGATTTTATAGAAGAAAAAGTTGGAAAAATCACTATTTATTTTCCCAATTCTCAGCCAGATGCCGCTAAGAAGGAAGCCGCCGCAGTTGAGCAGCTTGCAACAGATCTAGGATACCTAAAGAGCGTCCTTGCAGCAGTCAGTGATGACCCTTTCGAGGAGCTCGAACGAGCGTTGGCGAGACTTAAAGCGGTCAGACTTCCGGTGGGAGAGCCTATTTCGGTTCGCGGACTAATCGAGGAAAGGGCGAACGCTAGCCCGTAGAAAACTTCTTTTTTTACATATTTCTTTCGATCTCTGTTTTTACGTCTCTGTGTGCGCGTGTTGTTTCGCATCTTTTTTGGCTTTGTCCCCGGTGGGGTGGGGTGCGGCTGCCGGCCGGCCTCTCTCTATGGAACGCGCCGGCCGGTGCAAAAAAATAAAAAATAAAAAGGCGAGGGTGGGCTCTGGAAACGGATATTTCTGTTTTCTTTTTTTTTTTCTTTGGGAGGGGGCGGGTTGCCGTTATATTTGGATATTGTGGTTGGTAAATGTTTTTTTTTTTTTTTTTTTTAGTGTAGGTTTTTCTTTCTTTTCATGCAAAAGCGCATGCTTTTGTTTTGGAACCGTTTCTCTGGAGAGTCAAAAAAAAAAAAAAAAAAAAAAAAAAAAAGGGGGTCAGAGAGAAATTCCCGGGACCCCATACGCCACCCGGGGGCCTGGGACCGCGGGCGAGGCGGCCGGCGTTCCCACATGAAAACCGAACGCCCCAACCAGGGAGGGGGGGGGCGGGCAAAGCCGCCAGGGGGGCCCCCCCTCCGCCACCCCCGGGAAAGAAAGAAAAAATAGAAAACCGCGCCCCCCGAGGGAGGGAGGGGGGCTTTCGAACCCCCGCCCCCCGCCCGAGGGCCCAAAATTGGGGGAACGGCCGCGGGGCGCCCGGAAAGCAGGAGAGGGCCATCCCTCCTCCATCCTCCGGGGGGAAGGGGTCCCGGGGCAGCGCCGCCGCCCATCTCGTCCTCTTTTTTTTTTTTTTTTTTTTTTTTTTTCTTTTTTCCTTCCCTCCACGCCCTCTTGGGAACTAAAAACAGGAACGCCTAAAAAAGTAAAAGAAAGAAAAAAGAGAAGGGGGAAAAAGTTTGAAGAGCGGGTTTGTTTGGGACTTTGGTCCCCGCACCTCCGGCCTCGCAAAAATCAAGGAGAAAAAAACGACAACGAGAACGATAAAACGAACAGAGAAATTTCCAGAAAAAAAATTTTTTAACAAAACCCAAAAAGATGACGCTCGCAGAAACGGAAAACCCGGGAATGCGCACCAAGAAGCGGGCGCAGTAAAAATTTGCAACGCTCAAACGCGTACGAAAAATAAGCGATGAAAAATAAAACAAAACAAAACAATAAAAAGAAATACTGGCAATCAGGTTTGGCATCGTCCGTGCTATTAAAAACTTTATAAAATATATATTTATTATTCATACGCGTATATGCGTGCCCAATGTCAAATCCGAAAAAAGGTGAGAACAACAGAGGGAGAATAATAATAATAACATAAGAGAGGGTCTTTTTTTTTTTTTTTTTTAACAAGGAAGGAAAAAACAAGAAACAAAAAAACAAAGCAAAAACCCTTCAACTATTTTAGTTCATGCTGCCGCCTGTTTTTTCACCTGCGCTTCTACACCACCCCCTCCCCCACCTCCCTAGACATTCCGCTTTCAGTAAAACTTAACTTGTGGGTAACCTGAACGTTCCTTGTAGGGTACAAACGGTCTGTTCGGGAAGAATCGTTTCTCTTCCTTTACCATCGTGAGTAGCAAAGGACTTGGGGCATAGCGATCACTTCCTGTCTCATCTTGAAATTGTCGAAGTCTACCAACAACCGCTTGAAGACCGCGGTGATCCGCATGTTGCAACAAACCACCTCGAAATGCTGGAAAACCTGTGCCCCATATCATACCAATATCCACATCTTCAGGAGTGGCAGCAACACCTTCTTGTAGAATATAGCAAGCTTCATTAACCATAAGTAAAACACAACGATCAACAATTTCGTTTTCATCCTTACTTTTCTTAGATTGAGGAAAATATTTTTCAAGAGTTTCAGTATTCATTACTGTTTCTTTTCCTTTTGCATCATATCGGTACAATCCTTTACCATTTTTTTTGCCAAGGTAACCATCCTTCATCATTTGTTCAACCTGAGAACCGACAGCAAATCGTTTAGATTTAATCCCTTCCGAGAGTACCGGTCCAACGTGACAAGCAATATCAAGACCAACTTCATCTAAAAGACGAAAAGGTCCCATAGGCATCCCAAAATTAAGCATAGCTTTCTCAATTAAAGCCAAATCCACTTCTTCTTCTATTGCAAGACGAGATGCTTCAGCCATATAAACACCAAGAATTCGATTTACAACAAAACCTGGTGCATCATTTACAATAATAGGTTTTTTACCAGTTTTAAGTGCCAAATTAAAGATGACTGCCGCTGTTTCAGCTGAAGTTTTCTTTCCTTTAATTACTTCTACCAATGGCATTTTTGAAACTGGGTTAAAAAAATGCATCCCAACAATACGTTCTGGGTATTTAGAAACTGTTTGCATTTCAGTTAAGCTAAGTGAAGAAGTATTAGTAGCGAAAATATTTTTACCATTTATGACACCTTGATTCTCCATTTCTTGAATAATTTTCTTTTTAATATCCATAACTTCAACTGCAGCTTCCACAATTACATCAACATCATGAAACACGGTATCAGAAGTTCCACCAGTTACCAATTTCATTTTAGCCTCCATAACAGTAGGAGTTATTTTCTTTCTTACCACTGCCGTTTTAAACTCCCCTCGTACCATTTCAATACCCTTGTCAACTGCTTCTTGTTTTACATCCTTTACCGCCACAGGGATACCTTTGTTGGCAAAGTAGTGAACAATACCAGATCCCATTACTCCCGCACCAATTACACCCACTTTACGTACAGGAGGTACTTTATCCTTTGAAATTCCGGTTTTTCGCTCACTCTTTTTCATCCCTTCATCAAGAAAATATAAAGCAATTTGATTTTTTGCCTCTGGTGTAACCAAAAGTTCACTGAATATATCCCGTTCCTTCGCCAATCCTTCCTTTTCTGAATGAGCAGCTGAGTATATAATAGCTTCTAATGCTTTATATTGCGCAATATATTTTCCTTTTGTTTTTTTATTTAACATTTCAATGGTTTTATTGCCAACAATTTTTCGTCCAAATGAAGTACGCTCCAAAAAACGATCCATCAATGATATATTTTTTCGTTTCATTGGTTTTAATGGTTTATCCACGAGTCTGCCAGACCACTTTCGTACACCTTCAAAAAATCGTTCCTCACCTTCCCATCGAGGTTCTGCCTCAATAACTGCATCCAGTACACCTGCTTTCTTTGCTTTTGGTGCTTTTGCAGGTACACTAGTCATAATCCATTGAACTGCTGTAGCAAGGCCAACGAAACGTTGAAGGCGTACTGTACCACCTGCCCCAGGAAGAAGACCCAACAAACACTCTGGTAAACCCACAGATCCATTTGATGCTAGTAGACGATGGTGACAAGCAAGGGTCATTTCAAATCCACCACCCAAAGCAAGACCATTTATGGCAGCCACAACAGGAAAAGGCTCCTGTTGAATACGATTAAACAATCCATGACCCATTTTAGCCGCTTCTGATGCCATTTTTCTGTCTGTGAGAGGGTACAGTTGATCCAGGTCAGCACCAACACAGAAGGAAGATTTGGCACTCGCAATGATAACAACGCGAGCCTTATTTTCTGCCACAAGCTTTTCCACAATATCTAATGCTTGATGCATACATTTTACAAACTCTTCACCCAAAGCATTAGCGCTGGAGCCAGCACGATCCATCACAATCCAGGCGTAAATTCCGGAGTCAACATATACTGTGACATGTTTTCCTGCAGGGTGAATTGCCCAAATGCGATTTTTTAGAATACAACTTTTGAAATCGTTCACAGAGACAGTTGTTTTTTTCCCTGATGGCACCTCAACAGGAGGTTCAGAATTTAATGGTGCATTGGTTTTGCACATACAGCTTTGACAGTGTAGTTGCTGATGGAAAAAACCTGATATAAATCCCAATGCTGGTAATTTTCCAAGTCCGTTACGCCGCATCATCTCTGATACTGTGAATACTTATAAAGTATTTTTTTTTTTTTTTGTACTTTTATCGATGTTGGGGTTAAGGTTGGGGTTATTCTATTTCCAGACGAGCAGTCAAAGTTATTATTAATACAACTAAACACTGGAAACAGAAAGGAATATATATATATACGAAAGAGAGAAAGAAAGGAAGAAAGAGAAATGCAGAAAAAAAGATATTTACGCTTTTCTTTTCACAATTTCCTCTATAAAATAGTTTTTTTTTTCCCCCGTTCTCAACAGAACATATATTTCAGGAAACGTGAGTGGATAATTTGACTTTCTCAGAAATACAGCCCCAAAGAAAATTATGCTTCTTGACTTGAGCTAAATCTTGTAGAAAAGTACCATAAGAAAAAAGGGTGTAAAAGAGTTTATCCATATCATGTGCATACACACCCTTGTCACACAAGCAAGCTGCAAAACAAGTAGAAAAGAAATAAATTAATTCTTCTATACAATCTACCGGAAGAAATTCATCCCTGTGGGAATTACCAAATGACAGTTTCCCTAGGGCTACTACCTCGCCAAACTCTTCTTCCTTAGTATGGAAGGGACTCAGATGGAAACATAAGATGGTAACACAAACAGTCAAAACCCAAATCCTTCCTCTGGGCGTTCCTTCTTGCCAATCATATCTCCACAGAGAGAAAGAGAAAGAGGCATAACAAATAGGAAAGAAATATTTTTCCACTCAGAACCCACTATACTATATAGACCTTCTCTAGAAGCATATTCCTTTCTCTAATTCCCGGTAAAAAAAAAAAAACCATCCAGCTAATTTCTTACAATAACAAAAAAAAAAAAAGCAAAACATGTTGAAAACGAAGTAGAAACATTATTACGATAACGAAATATGTTAACCACTATGATTTGTATACAGTTTCCCACCCCTTCCTTCTTCACTTCTACAATGCACAGATGCCTACATACACAGAGAGCTAGAGAGAGAGAGAGGGAGGGAGGGAAACACAAACATATTTAATTATCATCCCAACTTCTGCATTTTAGCCTCATAGATTCAAGCGTTCTTCGCTATGCGCCTCTGCATCACATCATCCATTGCAGCATTCCACTCTCCAATATCCCCTTCATGTAGAATATTCCTCAGTCTAGGATGGGCATCAATAATACGTGTAACTGCATACATTTCCACATCCGCTATATCTGGTTCTTTACCGCCATGAAATTTTTGGCTAGGATCATCCTGTAAACGTGAAGAAAAGAATTCCAACTCTTTACGCAGCCACACATGTGTATCCTTGGGTGGTGCTTCACTCATATCAGATTTCTGAGACTTAAGACTTGGTTGAATCTTGTACTTTGAGAGGACACATAGGACAGATGCCCCAAATACATGAAAAAATATATTGTGATAACGTGTTGGGGTTACATATGGATAAGAAGCAAATGCATCTCTCCAAGTACCATTAGTAACTACAAAACTCACGGCTTGAAACCGTTCTGTAATCCACTGGCGTGTTTCCAAGACCCGTTGATTCTCAAGCTGTTCAGCAAATCCCAAAGGAACAGATAATGAGGAAATAATCTTCTGAGAATCCACCACATAGACTCCCTCCCCATCCTCTCCAGAGACAGGATGAGAACTATCTTCCATTCGAGTCAATCGTATTTGAGGCACTAAAGTGTATCGAGAATCTGGAATCCCTTCGCCAGAGAGTGTGTCAACATTTACTATTTCAAATGGGACACAATGGTAACGCAGCACCCATTCTACCTTAGCACAGTACGGGCATCCCAAGAGGCGATAAAGTGTCATGCTAAAGTCCTGCCCTTTATGATGTTGTCCATTGCGTTGAGTGCTTCCGCTCCATGGTAGATGTGTTGCTCGGAATGCTTCAGTGAGGAGATCCTTGTCCTGTAAGGCGTTAAACTCGTCAGCAGAGAGTTGACGTGGTGCTGTGCTGTTCGCTCTGTTTCTGCAAGTCCCATACCAATAAGCCGTCCCTCCTATAATACCACCCCCGGCAAGAGTTATATACAACCTGCGAGAACCAAAGCGCATTTGGCGTAATATTGTTGTTTCTTTGTATTTCTTTTAGTGGGGAAAAAAAAGGGGGAAGGATAAGGGTAATTAATCTTTTAATCGTTGCCTCTCCTACTAATATGAACTGTTTTTGTTTATTTATTTATTTTTCGTATGTATGAATATTTCTATGTTGCTATTCACGTGTGTGCGTCGTCGCACAGGGATACCTTTCTCCACTAAATCCAATACACAACTAAATCCCAAAAGAAAAAAGAAAAGAAAAGAAAAGAAAAAGGCCAGCAGAATGCGGTAAGAAAAAAAAAGAAAGAATGCAACACAAAACATATGTATATATTTTTAGAGACCGAATACCATCACCTTCTTCACAACTAACAACAGCACCACACAAAGACACATCATGCGGCACAGATTCTCATAAAGCAGCAACAATAAAACTTGTATCGCAAAATAAATATTCTTCAGCACTATACTCCCACCAGACCACAGTTGTTCGTAACCTTCTCCCTTTTACCACCTCCCCTTCCTCTTCCTCTTTCGGTGCTTTTCACCAAAAGAAAAAGGAAATCAAATCAGAGGGAAATTGATACTGCAAACAGTGAATGCAAGGAAAAAGGTGCAAGGAATAGAGAGGGGAGTAATAGCGACGTCTCAACTTCAGCATGCAAACACAAGCAAGGCAAAAATACACACAAAAGATTACCATATGGAAATCAACGGTCATTTATAGGGGCTCACGCAATTCTTTTTTTTTTTTTTTTTTTTTTTTTTTAATCTCCCTCACCTTCTTACGTGTATTCTTAAAAGGCGTACATACGCCCAGTTAGAAATGCGGACGCGCAGAGCAACAAAATGAACAAAGAAAAATGGGGAACCCCAAACGGGGAGATGATGAACTGAAGAAACGACAAAAAAAAAAATAAACCTTTTCTGTAACGTCTCAGACATATCCTGGGATAGTTCAGCAGACCTCTCCTTTATCTCCCCTCTCTCTCTCTCTCTCTCTCGCTCACTGAGATATATATGTATATTCCCCAATCAAGAATGTACAACTCCCTAGAACCGGCCTCGGTCGGAAGTCACATTTGCAATGTCCGGCACAGGATTTGTAGGGTTCATTTGATGCACCGTAATGGCAGAACAGACTCCGAATGGAGAAATATTTGGACTGTTCTTAGCATAGCTCACTTGAATCATACGGTTCGCAAGCATTTTGTACCGATTATGAAGTGTGAAAATGGCTGTATCTGCCTCCTCCACACTTGAGTACGTAACAAAGGCAGCACCCTTACTACGGTTATTCAGATCGCGTAAAATGTGGATCTGCTCAACCGTACCGTAGGCGCTGAAGAGTTCATAGAGTCGATTTTCATCACTCTCAAAGGGAAGTTGACCTACAAAAAGCTTTGCCGCTGTAGAACTTATCGACGGAGCACTACTTGACTCTGATGTCAGCCCAAGTTGTGGTTGTGGTTGTGGTGGTTGTTGTTGTGGCTGTGGCTGTGGCTGTGGCAAAAGAGCATAGGATGTTTTATGCGGTGATGCTACTTCGGGGTTTCTGGGTTTCCACGGTTCAGCCTGTGGTCGAAGGGTTGCGGGTTTCATTTACAAGATCTTAATGTGAGTTAAAGGGTTTACTGCTAGTGGATGTCAACACGCTACCATAAGTGAAAGGGAGAGAGAGATAATGGAAGAAAACAGCTGTAATAAAGAAAAGGAAAAAAAAAAAAAAAACTTATCACATGTATTTTTTCACGTTACCAATACTTTTAATGGAAGAACTATGATATTTACAAAACAGAAAACGCATGCTGTGGAGGAACAAAAAGAAAAAGTTACAACTTGGATGTACGTTGTGACCCTTTCCTATAGAAGATTTTGGCGTGATTGGCTTTTGCACACAGCACCGACTTACCACTCTGAAATTGGTAAATCTCTGCAGATAAAAAACAAATCCGCTGACCAACACGCAAAACACGACTCTTCAGCGTGAATGCACATTCTGTAGTGAGTGACTGCAGAAACTCAACATCGAGAGATACCGAGACATGAGTACACACTTCTGTCACCACACTCAAATGGGCTGATGTCAGTGCATCGATTATAAAGCATAAAATACCTTCATCAACGACACCTTCTATTACTCTGGCGTCACTGGAGCTCCCTATTGGTACGGCTGAAAGAGAACTATCAGCACACATGATCCATGACATGATAGTTCCCTCTGTCTCAAGTGAAGTACCTCCGTTATCTGCTAAAGGCGAAGCAGCAACAGGAACAAAAGTAGCATCATTATTAGTACCAGTAGGAGTAGTAATGAAATCAGAGGATGTGACTTCAGATATCATTTCTACTTTTTCAGTGTTTAAACGAGCATGGTAGCAGATGATATCTCGTGTAGACGGCGGGGCAGTTGAAAAAAACTGTCTTACACGCCTTGTCACTTCTGCTGGATTGATGGGGCTACACATTTGAATCCTCAGATTTTTCGTTATTTTTTGATCTAATTATATACCTATCAGTTTTCTAGTTAAAAAGAAAGAAGGTAAGAATTATTGTTCTCGTTTGAAAAGATAAAAACCAATCTTATCCCTCATTACATCATCATAAACTCAGATCCAATGTATGATTAAGCAACCAGCAAAAAAAAAAAAAACAAAAAAAACCATATGACAAGAACCTAGGGTAATTGTGCCAAACACGGAAATAATAAAACAATAATAATAATAATAATAATAATAATAATAATAATAATAATAATAATAATAATAAACAAATAAGTAAAAAGTGCAAACTTTAGACATGGTCTTGAAAAGAAAGTATATAAATGCTGAGAATATCTTACTTTTACTAAATCTATACATTTTTTCGAAGCACTTCTGCAAAAACACACAGATTCTGACTACCACTTATGATTTGGCCATTAGGGAACGTGAAGTGTGGTACTCCGTTGAACCCACGTGGTGGATGCAGTCGAGTACGCCGCAAGACGTCATCCAAGAAATTCTGCAAATCCCTGTCTCCAAGTATACTTTGTACTTCCTCCCTCGTGATACCCACCTCCTTCGTGGCTTCTACCAACTCAGAGAGCACCCCCAAATTCCTTCCCTCCTGATGGGTTCGCCGAAAAAGTACCTCTTGGAGGTCTGATTGGAGTTTGTAGTCCCGCTGCCTTTCACCAAAGTACGTGAGTAGGAGATGGCAATTGTACGTATTGAATGTGCGCGCGTCACCCCTCAGAGAAAACTGCAGACCTAGATCAGACGCTGTTGAGCGCCTGTTTAGGGGAATAGTCTCCGGTAGCTGCATCCACTGCCGCACTACCTCACTGCCAAACTTCTTCCCCAGCACATCTACAACTCGTGGTCCCGGTGACTGCATCTCTGGGTAAAGTTGAAACGGCCGCCAGTGAAGCTCCAGGGGGATATCCTGCTCACTCGCAGCCTTTTCGATCGATCGCTTCCCCACCCAGCACCAAGGACAGGTCACATCAGATATAACTTCTACAACTACCTGTTTAGTCATTGGATTATTATTTTCTTTTCTTTTTGCTTTTTCCTATCGTCACCTTGGCTTCTTTACTTAGTATTTTTGGTTGTTTCCCTAACAACGTTGCCAATGGTAGCTGTAAATAGTTCTTGTGAAATAGGGTGAGGAAAAAAAAAAAAAACTCATACACAGCTCTTATTATTATTATTATTATTATTATTATTATTGACTGATATGCCTATTGATTCTGTGAAGTAGCAAAATAAAAAAAAAAAAGGATTGTTCAGGATTTTCCAGAATGAGGATGCCTACACAGCCTTATATGTGACTCGCGTCACAAATTATGCTGAATGTCCAACCCTCTCACAAAATCCTCTATTAGCTGTGCCGTCTCCTCCAACTTATCATAGTACAGATTATGCCCGGCATTCTGAAGAACATACTCCTTCACGTTAACTGCAGACTTATTCCACAATCCATGGTACTTTGTGTCTCCTCCTATTGGAGAAAGCCCTCCCAAAACAGAGAGAATAGGAACTCTAATCTTACAATGCGCACTATTTTTGATAGTAGTGTCAGACAAGAAGACAGAGCGACGTTGCAAGGCCTTTTCCAAAACAGGAATATTACATTTCCATAATGCTGGAGATTCTACTTTACCATTAGCTCGAACAATACGAATATTAGTGGTAAAGAAGTCACGCACACGTCGGTCCTTTATACCACATCTTGAAAACTCCTCTTGGGCAGAACGCATATCTCTAATACTCGATAAATTAACTTTTTTCATAAGGTTCATATATTCAGACAACTCATTTTCAATAGAGGAAGGAAACAAAGAACCTGTAAGTGGAGGCATGTCCAAGCTCACCAAACCAGAGACAAAAACTCGTCCTTCCCGTCTAGAGTCATTCTCTTGATTCATAAGAAACTTTGTCCACGCCAAGGAACCCATGCTATGTCCTACAGCCAATATGTTCGGTGGAACTGTGTTCTCTGCAATTAAATACCCCTTTTCTTCCATCCACATATTTATATCAGCAACTAGTTCATCAAGTGTGTGACTTGATGTATGTGGCGAGAGACCGTGATTTCTGCAATCAACTGTGATGGCCTCCACCTGTCGGCATTGCTCTTCTAAAGTGCAACCCCGTTGCAGTCGTCGTGCAAGTGAAAGTAAAGAATTGCCATGAGAAAGAAACCCATGCAAAAAGATGAAATGTATGGGTGGCCCTTTAGAAGGAGATCTCGCTGAACAGACTCTATTACTGTACAGCCTAACAGGTGACGTCATTCAGTGTATGCACAACTCAACTATTACCTACTACTCATGATCTCCTTCAATAAAAGCAAAAATAAAAGACAAAAAAAAAACGGAAAGGAAAAAAAAGAACAAAAACACATGAGAGAGATATGTCAAAAAAAAAAAAAAAAAGCTACAAGAAGACAACCCCACTCCTATTATTCTCTTGTTACCTAGAATAATCATCTCGGTGAATGTTCTTTTGATGGATAAGGACATGACATCAACTGCTAATACAGAATGCTTTTCCATAAATAATTAGAAAGCATGCACTTTGATTGATACAATGTGTATGTGTGTATAATATTACTTTTCTTCTACATGTCAACAAAAGAAGTTGGTACAAACATTACTGCCATTTGAAGCAAAAAACTGCATACATCCAAGGGGAAGAAAAAAGAGAAACAGTAGCAAAAAAAAAAAAAAAACAACTCCAGGTATATCGGGGACATCAATGTACAAACTATAAAAAGAGAGGTATATAGTAGCAAGCTCACGGAACGTAAAGACGTCCTTTATAGCTTGCAATACTCCCAACCAAAAAAGTGGGAAGAAAAAAAAAAGGAAGGAAAAAAGAGAGGTTGAAATTTGGATGGAGTTTTATAATACAATACAAGAAAGAGACTCTCTTCATAACATCCGAGCACAGACGCATAGAATGAATTTAGGAAAATAGATTATGCATCTTTCTTTCTTGTTTCCCGATACCATCCGTCTCAGGATTATGTATGTGGGTAATTACCCAAACACGATACTTGACATATTAGACTATTCTCTCATTTCACAATCAACGAAGTCACTTCCATACACGTATATTTAAAGAAAAAAATCAAATAAAAAAGAACACTTCACACCCGTGATTTCTGAGTATGCGTTGGCCTCTTCACTCTGCTCTTTATCATCATGGTGGATATCCTACGAAATTGCTCCAGAGTCAAGGGCTAAACAATGAAAGTGACGCCAAAGTACGGGAATCCTGTGAGTTCCCCACAGCAATTCCCTCTTCACCTTCAGAAACAAAAGACCCTAGTACAGGGACAATAAACGTCGCTGGATTTGACAAGTTACGATTACCTCCTTCAATGAGTTCCGAAACATCAAGAATATTCGCAAACTGTGGCAAACAACCCCAATGTGAAGAAAGGGCTTTTGATCCTTCATTACTGCGATTGCTGTGTATCAATGGTTTACTTTGACCTTCAGTACCAGTAAGCTCTGAAGAATTCATTCTGCATCGAATCATACGTGCTGAATTACAGAATTGATTACCCCTTACATGCCACATGGAGTTTACTTCTCTATGTATATTTTCCAAACCCGGTTGACTCAAAGAACTCAGCTCTCTCTCAAAACCAGGATGAGGAAAATTTAATTTTACATTAGTGGATCCATTGATTCCAGTGAGAACAGATAATTGTGTGTTATCGTTACTACCATAAACTGCACCATTAGATGAACCAAGGGTACTGCCAAAATGACTCTGCCAATAAAAAGGTTCTGGGAGGCAAAAACCAAATGCATTAGGTGCAATAGACACCAAAGAAGCTTGCATATCCTGTTTGCTTCCCAACTCAAAGGACGGAGGGTGAGAGAGTGATCTTTCTTCTCCTGTTCCTATCAGCTCATGAGGAGCTTGATAAGGCAAAAGAAATGAGTTTTCGTTTACTGTCTCTTTATTAAACGAGATTGTGCCCTGCTGGGTCTGGAGATCTTGAGTCGATAAAACTGTACATTTTTCTGTTCCATTCCTTGTTTGAGGAACAGGATGTAAGGGTGCTGAAAGATTCTGTCTTGTAGAAGATTCAGCAACGTATTTCCTTTCTTGTACATCTGTACTTTCTTTGGTAGTTACATCTGCTTTGTCCAATGTGTCAAGATTAACTGGTGGTATATCCGGGCATTTGCAGCCCAGGTTAGCAACATCCTTCTTAGTTACCGATTTCTCGCACATGGGATGAGAATCTACAGGATACATAAAATAACTTGGAGAAGGACAACTTCGTTCATATGAAGCACTTAATTGACGTTGAGGGTTACCTCTTGTCATTGGTTCCACTAAGTTCCGAAGAACTGGTCTCCCCCGAAGAAATAAATCTTCTTGTTTCAAAGAACCATGAACATCAACAGCAACGCCATCAAGGTCGTTACTAAGTCCAGAAGATTTTAAATTACTGCTCAAGAGCTGCCTTTCGTGTGAGAGCTCTGTATTAACGGTTTCAGCTGCTGTGACATCATCAGATGACAGTATTTCTTTCTCCACATCTGCCACAACGACTACAGGTTCACCAGAAACAACAGCAGGAGGGGGCCCAACAGAACGACTCATCAGAGAAATGAAAAAAAGCAAAATATTAAACGAAAGGTTATAAACAAAAAGGGCTTCTGTTTGTATCCTAGTGTCAAACAAAGAGCCAAAATTTAAAAAAAAAAAAACTTTATTGGAGAGGAGAAAAATGGAAAAAAAAAAAAAGAAGAGAAACATTTTTTAGTTCATCACGCAATGTTAAACACAAGACTTCTAATTAAATCACGCGGTTAAACATCAGAAAAACGAAAATGGTTGCAGAATAAACTAATAATTACACTACATAAAAGATGGGAGAGCACTTAGTTCGCACTCAATTATGGAGTCATCAGATACACTGATAACATTGTCTCCCGTTGCTTTTGAGTAGCAGACAAATGCCTCACTTGGGAATGACAATTTCCCTACACAGAAGAGTTCTTTCGCGTTAGCTAGATCCTCTTTTTCACGTTGTTTTCGAAACTCATCCTTACTCAACTCTTCCAGATCATATTTTTCTTCCGGGTATCGCAAGAAAAGTACTACAACTGAAACTCCATTCCAACCACGACTTCGCATAATTTCTTCTGTAATATATTTTTCAATGGGAACACGTACAATACCAAACCCCAATTTGTATGCAGCAGTTTGTAATTTCCTTTCACCATCAGGAATACGTATAAAATGGCTCAAAACAACCATACTGGGAAAACATCTGGAACCATTGTTTTCCTCTTCATTTCCTTCTATGGATGCCTGGAGGAGCGACTTGCAAGTTCCAAGGAGATTTTCAATGTCAACTCGGTAGTAAAGTAAATCAGAACCTAATATGGCACGAATATCTCCTTTTAATAAATGTTCTTTACGACCGCTAAAACGTCCTAATAGAGAAAGTAACTGATCCGTGCCCTCTTTACACCACTCTAGAGGATACGTAATTAAAGTCCGATCCTTCACATTCTGTGTAGATTCCATAAATTCATCACAATCACCTCGAAAAAGTGACAAACCAAGTCGTTTTGCACTTGCTTCTATTAATTCTAGACAGTCATGGGAAGCATCTGTGAAAGCCACAGACAATTCTGGAAAAAGAGTGGCAGTTGTGAATCCAACAAGACCACACCCACAGCCCAATTCAACAACCCAGTTTCTCGAAGCCTCAGAACATCCTTCAACTGATCGCTCTGGTAATAGCATTCGTCCAAACATAACGATAAATGCAGCAAGTACTTGGGCTCCTTCGTAAACACGAAGACCAGTTGAGCACGTTATATCATTTTTGCCTTCTACTTTTGTTTCTGATTTAGTACAACGAAAGTAATGATCTTTAGGTGTAGCACAAGCAATTTCAATTTTTAGAAATGAGGTACCATCAGCCGACCCAAGAACCTCAAAAGTTTCAAAGTTCATGGACTAAAGTCGATATTACAGGAAACAAAAATAAAATAAAAATAAAGATCAAAAATAAAGCAATTACATAAGCAATAAGGGATTCAAGAATCGAACAACACGCACAGTATGTATAATCCAGTGAAAACAAAACGTTTAAGAAACATATTTTTTTTCTTCATGCTGCTGGTATTAGGGCAGAAAAAATTTTTACTCAGTTTTCCATTTCTCTTCTTTTACTTGACGTACGACATAACAATAAAGAAAACTTATTCCAAGAACGATAATCAGAAAAGAAAAAACCAGCATCCCAAAAACCTGTGCAACAACAATTCCATTCTCACCTAGGGGGGAGAACAATCCAAGCACCTTCTCTGTACTGTTAGAAGAAGCCTCTATACCAACTGCGAGCATCATGAGATGTACACCTACAAAGCAGAGAGGTAGTGTGTGGGATGGTATAAACATCAGCTAATCTTTCCCTACCAAAACGAAAACAGAATCAAAGAAGAATTGTTTTGTTTCTATCAGCATTTGTTTTATTTCCACCAAACATGCAACCCACACCTTATGATAAGAAGAAGAAAATAATAAAAATAAAACCAAATGGAATCAAGATCCTGAGAAAGAAAGTCTCAAAAACTCTGTTGATAAAAATGTAACTTTCTTCCTTCTTAGTGAGAAGAAACTATCTTGTGCGATAGTGTCGAGTTTCACAATCGCTGGTTACCAACATCATGGAGTGTCCCACCCCTCTAAAGGAGGTGGTGTTTCGATTCTTGTGCGTGAAGATCTGCCAGTAAAAAGAGGACTCACCGTAGTTGCAAGCATTGAGCATGCTCATGCAACGATCCACATGTCAGAAGGTCTGGCGCTCACAGTGACGTCACCATATTCTTCCCTCCGGGGAGATCATATACAACGTCGCAACTAGACACGCTTTTGACGACAAGCGGACCTCACCCCAATGGTGCAGATGCTAATGCGCATGCAATGGCATGGGATCGCGCGATCCCCCCAGATACCCGTGGCGATGTGCTAGTACAATAGTGCTTAGATAATGACTACGTTATTCATAACACTGGAGACTGCACTCGCCACACCACACGCCATGGTCCGTCCGCGCCAGATGTGACAATATCCCGAGAATGCCTTCTAGAGTCATGGGCGGCACCCTTCTCCCCGGATAGCGACCATTACATCATCCTCTTCGACGTAGCAGTAGTGGATGATGACGAACCGCTGCGGTTCCCTCGCCCTCGCGCTCCCATTTATGCATGGAAGAAGGCGAAATGGTCTCGCTTTCGTCAACTGACGAACGCACAGCGCAATAAATCTCTTAAAGAGAAAATGAGTGTTCACAAGAGAGAACGACTACTGACCTCCGCCATCCGTATCGCAACAGCTGCGGCGGTTCCACGCGGAGGTCGAGAGACTGCCCCTTTTGGGCTCCAGAATTAGATGAAATCGAAAAGAAGATTCACAGTTGTAAACCCTCTGTCTCTCAAGACGGACTGGTAGCTCACAGAAGGGAAATGCCAAGACAAGCATCCCATAAGAGATGGAAAACCCTCTGTAATAACATGGCCGTGGCAGACGGCTGCTGTTGGAACATTTTGAAGAGGATTTACGCCCCGCGACCCCTCAGTACCCCGGCGATAAAGATTAACAACACGGTACTCACGGAAAATCAGAAAGCCAAGCACTTTATCCGCTTATATTCACGACGAGCTAAACGTCATCCACATTCCTACCCTCCACCACCCATTCCAGTAACCGATACAGAATTCATCCCCATTACAACAGTAGAACTGGAACGGGCACAGCGTCTCCTTCCTAAAGCGACGGCCGCAGGACCAGATGGTATCTACGGTGAGGCACTCCAATACTTTGGACCTCGCGCCAAAGCAGAGACTCTTGCTCTCTTCAACGAGAGTCTCCGTACGGGCGTGGTTCCAGTCCCTTGGAAAGCAGGCATCATTGTACCACTCCTTAAACCCAGAAAGAAAGCGACAGATCTAGATTCGTTCAGACCAGTTACCCTCACTAGTTGTCTGTCCAAATTAATGGAACGGATCATTGCAGCCCGAATTAGAGATGTCATTGAAAACAAACTGACCCCACAACAGTCTGGATTCAGGCTTCTCCACTCTACATTAGATCAACTATTGCATCTACGCGCAGCCCTCACAAGACCCACCCCTGATTCGCGTACAGGTGCAGTATTCGTAGATTACGCCAAAGCTTTCGATACTGTAGACCATGATCGAATAGTTAGTGCGATGCGTGAGATGGATATCCCATCGCACATCATTCGATGGTCTGCATCTTTCCTGAAAGGACGCCAAGCCAAAGTACGAGTAAACAGTAAATCCTCTCCTTTAATGCATTTCAACCGTGGCGTACCACAAGGAACAGTTCTAGGACCGCTTATGTTCATTATAGTAATGAACACACTAAGCAAACGATTATCCCAAGTTCCCTTATTATTTCATGGGTTTTTCGGCGATGATCTCACACTAGCAGTACGACACGTCAACGGAGACATCATCAACAGTACACTGCAACAAGGACTAAACGTGGTGGACGAATGGTCCAGAAACTATTTTATGGAAATCAACGTGGGCAAGACGAAGTACACTTTTTTTGGTACCACCAACCCGCATCCCCTTTCTCTTAAACTACGCGGTATCCCCGTAGGTCCGGAGAAGGCACCTAAACTCCTAGGCATCATATTCCAAAACTACCGAGGCATGTCTACCCATGTGGTTCAAACGAAACAACGCATGAATTTTCGTTTACTACAACTCGCAGCAATCTCTTCAACCACATGGGGACCGAAGCGTGACGTCCTTCGAGCCTTCTACCTGACGCTAGTTCAAGCCCAGACACTCTACGGTTTTGAGGTCTGGTATTGGGATGCGGCTCCCACTTCACGCAAACTCCTCGATGCAGGACAAAACAAAGCTTGCCGAACCATAGCAGGTATCCCATATGGATGTCGCTCCGCCGACGCATTACGTGAAGCCCGTCTTCTCCCATTAGAAATGACGGCCATGATCCGGAGCCTAAAATATTTAATGCGATGCCAAACACGAGGTGGATCCCTCAAAGAGAAAGCGCAGAACAAGTCTATCACGAAACCCATCCAGTACGAGAATTCTATGAACGCATCATGAAAATATATCCAACACTTGTTATAGAGCCACGCGAGCCCTCTTTACTGACACCAACTCTACGGTTCGGTAAACGCGCTCGCTTCTTCACATCGCTGGAAAACGTATCAGCTGATGACCCAGAAGAACAGAAAAGAGAAGCATCCGAGCGTTGGATAGCCCGTCACTTCCGCCGTAAAGGCGCAGAACCGCCGCCGCGTACCCATTATGAAATCTGGACTGATGGCTCCGTATTTCTCGGAGTAAAATCTGGAGCAGCAGCAATGATATACAAAGATGGTGAACTGCTCTGTACCACACATAGAGGCGCTGGCCCCCTAGCCTGCAGCTACACAGCTGAATCCGTAGCGCTATACGAAGGTTTACGGAGACTCCTCAAAATAATTCCCGCAAATAATCCAACGCCATGCAGGGTCTCCATTTTCACGGACTCACTGTCGCTTCTCACGGCACTGGAAACAGGCCCACTGACCGTAAAAGACCCATTACTACGCCTCCTGTGGAAACTGATCCTTCAAGTGCAACGTCGCAAGGCCCGTATACGACTACAATTTATCTTTGGCCACTGCGGTGTAGTAAAAAATGAAAAATGCGACACAGAAGCTTAAAAAGATGCAGAACTCCCACAAAGAACTGATACTTGGATCACAGATATAATAGCCTACGCCAAACGCATACTTAACGGAGAGGATACGCCCCCTCCCTCCCATAGATCAAAAATCACTGGACACTGGGACCCCACCAAAGACAATCCGGAACTCACTAGAGAGGAAGAAACAGCCTTAGCACGTTTTCGCACAGGTGCTTCGCATCGCTATGGCTGGTTTCTGCGCAAGGTGCGACCCCATATTCCCCCTGGTTGTCGCTGGTTTAATCCCCAACGAGTCAACATACCATTACCCGTTATTCCAACTGAGCTAAAATGACCGCGCTATGCACTAAACAAAGCAACAGACCCCGCCACCTGCAGCGAATGTGGGACACAATACTCATGCAAAAGCGGCTTAGAGAGCTGGTTTGACCGAATTGTCCCCCATGGCTCGTGACATTTCCGCATGGGTAGAGAGGCGCCGGGCGGCAGAAATGTAGCCGGACCCTTTGCTTCCGCGACAAAATTTTTTTTAATATTAGGGCAAACGGCCTTCACACATTTAAGTGGTTTAGGGAAGAATTTCTTGAATATCAAATACACTCTAATTTTTTTTTTGATGGCTGGCTGAAATTTCTTGATATTGGGTTTTGGGGCATGGTTTCATTATCTTGCCGTAAGGTTTTATGGATGGGCAATCTGGGTTATGTATTATTTTAGCAAACTCGTCTGCGCAGCATCCTTTCTCACTTTGCATTTTGGCAATTTGTCTTGGGTACTATGATGCGGAAATGTGGTGTCTAATGGTTGCGGATGCGCCTTGAACAAGAAAACCTTTCGTGCGTCTGAACTTGGTTATTTCAAGAGTAATTTTGCCAACCTTTTATCCCCCATCACCCAGGGTCAACCGAGAGGTGAGTGGTGCATTTCGGTGCCACGGTGGGGGTTCGGAAAGAAGATGCTTCAGGTTTACCCAATGGCGCCGGCAACCGCGCAGCCATTCCAATGCCAGAGGCTGTTTGTCCCTCTATATTTCTTTTATGCTTCTAATGCCCCAAAGTCTCTGCAAAGGTGTTTTTGTTTTTTTGCAAGGAATTTATTCCGGTTAGCCTTCTACCATGGAAATGGGCCCCGGGAGAACTATGAAACTTTTATTGCGGCCGAATCAAAATCGCCGAGAGACGCGTTATGCCGTATAATGTGTTGATTGCCCCATTGGGGGATGGGAATGCTGCCCCATTGGTTGTGAGAAATTCTTTGTGGAGCGCTACGTCTGGCGTTTGGGCGCCTTCTCTGCCAGCGAATTGCGTCCACT